TTCCCTTTTTGTTAGAGGCAACATGTCGACTCTCTTCATCCCAGTCTTCAATCTCTGTGAAAGGCTAAGTTGACATGAAAAACACTGGATGGTTCTGTCCGTCTTCCCATCTAAAACCACCTCTGAGCGAATGACTGAAAGTATATTTTCCAGTGTTTTACTGTTTTAGCGATTCAGAAATAGACAAACATCTTTTGCAGATTTTTTTTCTTTTTTAACATCAACAAAAGATTATTTGCATTTCCGGTTCAGCTTCTGAAGCATCTGTTAATAGCGTTCATGTCTGTAATCTCAGGGATGTATAGCCATAGCGCGCACCTCTAGAATCAGACCCCATATGGCTGTGCTAGTAAATAACTTATGAAAAATGAGAGGCGTGTTCTTCTCCACATATCTGCATATCAAGCAGCATCAATTTTTCCTCCACGACAAAGACTGAGCATCACTGAGGTTGACTCCCATCCCTTCACCATGGATACCAGACAGACAGTGGCTTAGTGAAGCTGAATACTAATCGTTCTGGTGGGAAGCGAAAAAGAAAAAGGGGCATTTTCGCTCCGCGCTTAAAGACATTTTCACTACAGCTGAACCAAATACACATCACAATGTTAGAGGCATGGTCTGTGGTGCTTCTCTACCTCCTTGGGGCTGTTGAGCCTTATCTGGTTGTTGCAGGCCAAGCATGTGTGCTGAGTAGGAGGAGATGGACCAGCTGATAAGAGGAGATTTGATTTATTTTCATCACGGCATGTTGCAGCGTAGCAAAGCTTCCATGTCAGCTCGGTACACCAACACAGCCTTTTGTGCTCAGCCCTCGGAGGCCTGTCAGTTTAACCTGACAATTTTAAAGAAGAATTCAATTCTGTATTGACTGAGAAATATGACAAATTTCCTTACAGTGTTTTTGCTTTTGCTGTTTTATATTGCTATTTCACTTGATTGAACTACTTTCAAGCTCGAGTTGCCTTGAAATTTAAAATGAATGCCTCGAGGCAGGATGGTCCTCTAGAGGCAGATATCAATAAATGCATTTCTGTGCCACTGTTCAGTATGGAAAGCGTCACCCATAATGAGACTCGGGAAGGATATGGTGGATAAAGTTTAACTCCGGTGGTTTAAGGTTGCTGCCTCTGGACTGCATATTAAGACTTTATGAAAAAAGAAATGCGAGGTTGAGCTGTAGACAGATAGATCTCAAGGCTTTCCAAAGGCTGCTTTTTCACTTGTTTTCACTCAGAGAAGTGTTGTTTTTTTGATTTGTTGAGCCATCCAAAAATTAGACACATAACTCAAAGGATGAACCACTTTGTTATTAGCAGCCAGTTGCAAAACCCAAAACCTTAGCTTTAGCACCCAAAACATTAGCTGAATCTACTTAAAATACCAAACACAGCACAGTTTGACAGGCATAAATTGTATTTTTGAAAAAAAGTTTTCAAAGACCTATTAGCTGAAAAATTGTTGTCTTGATATATTGGCATGAGGAAGAAATCTTTAGTAGAACAACATCCGAAAGTCATGTCTTTAAGAAATAGAGAAAAAACCCAGGACAGGCCTGACAGAGGACCTGAGAGATGCATCTGCACAGAGGAGGTCAGGAGAGCGGTGTAGACAGTGAGTGTCTACAGCAGTCTGTAAAACACGGTGGAGGCTCTGTCACAGTTTGTGACTGTGCTGTTGGAGAGCTTGTCAAAACTGATGGATTTATGAATGCAGAACAGCGCCATCGGGTGTCATTTTTCAACATGACACTGATCCCGAACGTACTGCCAATGCAGCAAAAGAATGAATGGACAAACATAGTGGATCATTATCAGTTATGGATTGGCCTCAACAGAGCTCGGACTAACGAAGCAGTGTTAGAGCATGTTGACAGAGAACAGAACAAAAGGCAGAAACATCCAAAGAAGAGCTTTGAATGTCTGAAGAATACTTAAAGCAATTACAAGAAAGCTGTCTAAGAGAGTCCAGAGTTGTACAAACTCTGTTTTTGCCTTTTATATCGTATTGCCATATATGGTTGCATTTTTCAAATTGCTGAACCTATTTCCAATTTTCCTGGCAAAATATAACAAGAATATGGTATAAATTTTCCACCAATTTAGTATTACAGTAGCATATCTTATCTATAGAATTTTAGCTAATCATAGGTTATCTCAAGTTTTACCTCCTCAGTCTCAGCATTACTGTTTGTTAACTCTGTAAAGCCTGAAACACTGATGATGTACAAGTCGGAAAAATTCATGAATCAAATATTGACACATGACACTTGGTGTTACAGTTCTCCTATTGAGCTAAACCACTTTGCAACCTTTTTTTTTTGGGGGGGGTAATTAAAACTTACACTAAAACAGACAAATATGGACAGATGACAAATGCAGATCTGTCTCTGACAACCTAAAAAGCATTAAGCTGTTTGTTCTTAAGGCTAACAACAACATGTAAACTAACTATTTATTTAACTTGATGCTTTCCTCCGTGTTCGATGTTTCACTATACAACAGATTTTGATCTGAATGTGCATCAGTGAAAACAGTTATACACAAGAAATCGTGAATATGACCATGTATTAGTTAATAATTAACTGAGAATAATATTCCTAATCATGGGCAGCACAGTGGCGCGGTGATGAGCACTGTTGGGTTCTTTCCGTGTACTCTCTTCCGGCTTCCTCCCACTCTCCCAGGACATGCTTACCCTAACAAGGATAAGCAGAAGAGAATGGATGCATGGAATTTCTTTCGTTTTTGATGCCAGCATGTACATTTGTACTTGCTTGATTTTGATTTTTCTATTCAAAGAGGCTTATTGTAGTCCAATCATTTCACTTCCCACATTCGTGGCGTTTCACATCATTCAGAGCTAAGTGTGTCAAATTTCAATTGTTTCAATATGCAACCCTTTCCAGCTAACTGTGGAGATAAAACAAAGAGATTACAGTAAAATAGTCGACATTTTTCACTGTTTTTGAGGATCAACCGAGGGTTAATACTGTGTAATTTTTTCTGTAACTCTCTGGGTGTCTCTCCTCCTGTGTATAATAAAGGTTTGTAATTAGTGGAAAAATCAAGTTTTAGGACATGCTTGTAAATGTCAGGGTTAATCTCTAATGGCTTTTTCTTCAGATCAGTTCCTAACCCTAGCACAGTTACCAAACATTTAAGACGAGTTGTAGTCCTTACTGCAATGCCATTCCTGCGACCCAACTAAAAAGATCTTAGTAGTTAATATTTGTGTCTAATTCAAATTAAATTGAACCTCCTATACTAAAAACGGCTTAATCTTCACTCTGCCATCAAATTTACTTGCTCCTGAAATACACCAATCATCGCTGTGACAGCAGCACGCATACAAAAGAGACACACAAGGAGAAGCAGCTCAAGTCCTCCCAGCATTTGCTGTCCTAATTTGTTTTCTTTCTCCTCCCTCCGTTTCCGTCTGCCTTCACCTCCTGCTTTGCCCCAACATTCCCTTTCCTCCTCCTGCTTGCATTTTTCATCTTCTCTCTCGTTACCTGTGCACAATGTTCATACACTCGCTCTCTCTGTATTCCCTTTTCTTCCTGTGCAACTCCTCTGGGGCCTCATTTTCTCCCCGACCGTGTACTTTCATTTGTGCATCCACCCTCGTTGGCCTCCTGCTGCTGTTCTCTCAAAACGTCAACACACACACACACACACACACCATCTTCTCGGTGTCTCCACCCCACCCCCTCTCACAGTCTCAGGCCATGAGGATTGTGCGGACAGTGGGTCAGGCGTTTGATGTGTGTCACCAGCTGACCCTGCAACAGAAAGACGACGAGCAGGAGGATGAGGAGGGGAAGGCGGAGGAGCTGCAGGCGGTGCCAGGTGACTCACACCGACAAACGCAAACACACAAATCTGCATCCGCAAAACCACTCCCTTCTCTCTCACGTCTTCCCGTTCTGCTTCTGTCACACAACACAACGCACACAACACCCCCCCGCCCAGGCCTGCGACTCCTGTTTCTCTCGCTTTCTCTGTTATACAAGCTAAAACTCGGAGTGAGGCAGAATCAAACAGTGGCAGTTGAGCACACCTCTGTGTGAAAAGATGTCATTATCCTCCTCCATTTTTTTTTTCAACTTGCCACGTTGAATGTTGAAGCTGCAAATTGGTTTTGGTTAGTTGTGCGAGCTCACTGATCAAAGCCCTTTTTTGTGTGGGCTGCTGCCAGCCGACGCTGTTGCTGTCACTGCCTCTAGATATGTTGCAAACTTTAAAGCACAATTTTTTCTTTTTCTATAAAGCATGACAATCCATCCTGTGCATCTGGTCTCTGCAGCAAAGAAGAGGTTTGCATTGTCAGAGGAGACAGACCTTGAAGCCACTACAGAGGAGAGCATTGAGTGCGTCTCCTCATCAGACCCGGAGAAGAGTAAAAAGGACGAGGCTCTTGGTAATGATGGAAAGGTACTGTTGCCCTTCATCATTTCAGCATCGCTGTTATGAAACATGGAAACACAGAAATCCTGCAGGGAGATGATATAGGCACACTTACATTTTATTTATGGATGGTTATGGCACATGGGTGGGTTCCCATGATGCACTGAGCGTTTCTCCTTCAGTCATCTCCTGTATTCATACACCAACTTGCATTTAATCCATTTAATTGTTAGTAATTCATTTTAAACTCTGGCTTTTTCCCAATGTGTGTCTTTTGCTCTGTCTTCCTCCTCTCATCCCCAACCGGTCATGGTAGATGGCCCCCCTCCCTGAGTCTGGTTGTGCTGGGGGTTTCTTCCTGTTAAAATGAAGGTTTTGTCATGGACTGACCGTGTAAAGCAGGCAAGATAGGACCCAAACGTAGACTCACAGAGGCAAAACTGAACTCAAAAACACAGCAGAAAATGCAAAACTAACTAAACTTAGAATATGCATGAAACTAAACAGGCAGGTAGGCAGAGCACATGGCAGGGAATGAGGGAGAACACAACACTGAACAGAGGGAAGGCACACACAGGGAATAGGAACAGAAAACACATGGGAAACACAGCTGAGACGAATTAGACACAACGAGACCAGGGAAGCAAAAACTAAACACACTGAACATGGAACGCACGTCTTTTACAATAAAACAGGAAACATGAGCTTGACAGAGGTGTGGAGGAAAGGCAGACGAGAGGTAGCAAGGGAACACGAGAGCGATATGACGAGCTGGAGAAACACGGATAAACATGATAGGCGGGGGGAACATAGAATGAAACACAAGGAGGGAAACCAGACACAAGGACTCACACAAACACAGACACACAGTAGACAAAGACACAAGGGGGAATCTAATAATCAAGGAACTAAACAGGGAATATGAGAAAATATAAAACAGACTAAGACTACTATTGAACCTAAAACATAATACAAAATATCACTAAAACAAAAGAAATTCAAAGTGCTGGGTCAAAGGGACCCAGAACCATGACAGGTTTTCCTTCACGCTCATAGACAGCTGAGGTGTTCTCTTTTCTCTTATTATGGTCTCTGCCTTGCAGTGTAAAGCATCTTTAGGTGAGAGTTTAGGAGGTGTATAAATAAAATTGAAATGAACTCAGCAAATATAATAAAGAACTATAAATGAATAATTTTTAGTTTTAATAAACAATTATTTTGTCTTGTAAGCATTTCATTAGGATTACTGTTAGAAAAATAACCAAGTTACCTATAGTAATCTACACTATACTACTATTATAATAATGCTCATGTGGCTCTGGGTGGAGCTTTCTCAAATTTCTGAATATAGCCCAGGATGTTATAGGAAGTCATGTTTAGATATGACACATTTAAAATAGTATGTAGTATCATATATTTGTAGGCAGTGTTTTTCACAGATATATACTCTTGAAGTCAGGTAACCACAAAATATGATCTTTAAATCAGAATGTGCAGAACAAAAAACGGACTTTTTCTCCTATTTTGTACCTTAGTTTAGTTAAAATAAGTCAAGCACGTTCCCATCCTTCAAGTTTCATTGTTAAAAATACCAACATATCTTTAATTTTTCACTTGCCATCAGAGATGG